TTAAAGCCTCTGCCTTCAGCTCAGGTCATGATCTCAGGGTCCTGGGATCGAGTCCCGCATCGGGCTCTCTGCTCAGTGGGGAGCCTGCTTCCTCCTCTCTCTGCGTGCCTCTCTGCCTACTTGTGATCTGTCTCTGTCAAAGAAATAAAATTTAAAAAAAAAAGGATACTAGTTACCAAGTAACACTTATTTACTAATTTAATGTGCTGCTGGTATAGCAAGTGTTTTGCAAAACTAAGTTACATTAAAACAGATGGGTATTTAGGGGCACCTGGGTGGCTCAGTGGGTTAAAGCCTCTGCCTTTGGCTCAGGTCGTGCTCCCAGGGTCCTGGGATCGAGCCCCACGTCAGGCTCCCTGCTCAGCAGGGAGCCTGCTTCCCTTCCTCTCTCTGCCTACTTGTGATCTCTGTCAAATAAATAAATAAAATCTTTAAAAAAAGAATTAAAAAACAAAAACAAAAACAAAAAACAGATGGGTATTTAAGGACCAAAAACTATTACTACAGGCAGTTTCTAAATATATAATTCCTAATACAAATATTCCTTTATGTCTGAAAATCAGATAGCATTTTCCCAAAAGATAATGCCTATTAGTTACCCAAACTAGTATCCAGAAGCTTTTTAAATCCATATGAAGACTTAAGTATGAGATTCTGTTTCATGTAACCACTGAATATTGATACCGACATTTATTCAGTCCCTGAGTATTGATACCAAGCATTTAAAAGTGAGGGATACCATACCACATTTATCTGAATCTAACCCTTTCCTCAATTTCAAGCAGTACGCAGAGAGGAACAAAGGACAGCAAAAGATCTAGGACAAAATTTCTTCGAAATTTTCCAAACTCCAGCAAAGACAAAGACTCTGAATGGTATGGAATACCTATGTTGTATTCACTGTATTAAACAGTCTAAACAGCTTTAGCCACCACACAGAACTTGGGGGCAAGTATCTAGAGTCTGACACTTAGCACACCATATCCACTGCTCTCCCCCGACACACAATTCAAGTCATAGCTAGTAGCTCCTGTGTGTGACACAGGAGACTTAACAAAGAATGCTTGGGAGGTGGAAAGACAGAGACTCTGATGGAAGGGAAAACAGGCATAGGGGATGGATGCAGAACTCTTAAAACCCAGAGGCCCACAGTGGGCATCCCTGGGATTGCTCCTGCATGCCTGAGAGGGCTCCCAGGAGGAGGGAAGTAAAAGACTTTACCTTTCTCATCTCCTGGCTGCCCATCAGTCCTGACACCGGGTGCTCTTGAAAAGGTGTGGGAAGATGAACATATACTGCCTACCTAGCTACCACCTTGGTACAGGTGACCAAATGTATGCAAAGGTATAAACATGCCAGGGATCGTTCATAAGTGTACAGATCTATGTAATGTATAAACGAGAGACGGGAAATGTAAACAATAGTAACAGTGAAGTTTCCATATAATTAGGACTTCATAATTTATGATCCTTAGTAAATAATCACAAACTGTTTTGTGTATTTCTTTAAAAATACAAAAACTGGCAAGGCGTTAAGAGTAACAACTACTTTCCAAAATTGTTATGATTTTTGCTTTTAAAGTATGAATATTTCAATAAACTAGTATCAGAAGAACAATGTGAGCTCAGCCTGCATATTAGAAAATACAGGAGATGGGTGCCGTGGTATTAAAATAAAAAAAAGAATCAGACGCTCAGACTTGCAGTGAATGTGGAAAAATGCACTTTTAACATAAAGATTTGCTAGTTACCTGTATGTTTTCGAAGATGCTCTTTAAAATGTCCAAAGTGGTCAAACTGTTTCTCACAGTATTGACATATGTGAATTTTTTTCCCAGTTCTTTGCTTCTTACTGACTCCACCTTCTTCAAGGTGGTAACAGTTGAGGTGCTGTTTCCATGCGCTCTCCCGAAGATACCTTTTATTGCATATTTCACACTTGAAACTCTCAGTGGAGTGTGATTTCATGTGTTCCTTAAAATGGTAAAACAATTTAAATGAACGGTTACATTTCTCACAATGGAACAAGTCCTTCACATGTGACAGCTGAAGTTCCACAATTTCAATACCTTCTACCTGTTTGCTTGTGGGGTCAGATGCACAACCATCTTCTTCTTTTATCTGCCCTTTTCTATCACCTTGCCGGTACTTGCTGGTAATATCTGCCAACAGTGCCAGGGCGGAATCATCAGAGGACCCTGTGCTCTGAATGTACTTTATGGACTGCTTGGCAGAAGCCACTTCCTCCAACGTTTCGATGCCTTCATCTTCCACTTCAATTGTGCCTTCGGCAATCTCCACCTCAATTTCAACAGGTTCTGATTCTGCAGAGGGCAATGACTCAGTGATAACATTTGAAGTTTCTGCAATCTTTCTTTTTTTTGCCTCACTTTTTCCTGTGGTATTTTCCTCTAATGGAGCGGAGTTTTCTTTGTTCCTGAAACACATAATGTATGGATTTAAAAATCCGTAAGGTCAATGGAAATCCTAGCAGGCTTTTGGGAAGAAATTGGTAAGTTCATAGAAAAGTTTATATGAAAAGGCAAAAAACAAAATCGGAAGACTTATATAACCTGATTTCAAGACTCACTATAAAGCTACAGCAAGTTAAGACACAATACTGGTGAGAGACATGAAGATTAATGGAACAGAGTCAAGAAACAGACCCACTTGTTCAACTGATTTTTGAAAAATAAAGGTTCCAAGATAATTTAACGGAGGAAAGAACTTTTAACAGTGGTGCTGGAACAACTGGTCTTTACATGGAGAAAATAAACCTCAACTATCACTCTTCAATCATACACTCAAATTATTTCAAAATGGACAACAAACTTTAATGTAAGAACTAAAACTATTAAACGTCAAGAGAAAAGCAGGAGAAAATCTTTGTAAAATTGGGTTACTGAAAGATTTCTTAAATAGTACGCAAAAAGCAGAAAACTTAATAGCAAAAATTGATAGATTTCATCAACATTAAAAGCTATTGTCCTTTGAAATAGTTAACAAAACGGTAGGCTGCAAACAAAACAAAACAAAAATCAAGCCACAGACCCAGACAAAACACGTGCACACATATATCTGTCAAAGGTCTGCACAGACAGTATAAAAAGTTTTCTTATAATCCAATACCCTAAATAAGAGAAGACAACTATTGGGAGACAATTATCCATGAGTGTCATGTTCCGGCACGCCTCCTGCACTGACAGCTGCTCTTCGGCGCTCTCTTCAAGGCTGTCTGCAGGACCGCCAGCAATCTGGAAAGACGGAGCGTACGGCTCCCTCTGGGCAATGGTTGGGCAGGTTTGCTTGCAGCCCATCATCTAAGATGCGGGCTTCCTACGCTGGAGATGCTTCAGCTGTGATGTGAACCAACTAGACGCACTGCATTCACCTGGGCCACTCTATGTCACCCCTCTGGGGGAGAAGGGAAAACTGGCACAAATATAAAACTCGTGCTGCTTACTGTGCAAAAAGTAAAATCTTTCTGACTTAAATATCTTTTATCAGCATCTGTGAAACTATGAAGGGTAACCTGTTGCCTTCAAATAGGGTAAAAATCTCAGATCCGCCACACTTCTTGCCAGGTTCTGGCAACAAGGACAGGATGCCAAAAAAGACAAGGTTTTCTGGAGGACAAAGGATAAGGCCCCACAGAACAAGTAATGGGATGTGAGGAAGTCCACTGGAGCTGGCAGCAAAAATGTGCTGACCAAATTGTATGGTCAACTAGGCAGTGCATGGTCTTCCACTTAACTGCCTACTGTAGGAGTTAAACTGTGTCCTTCAAAGATGTGCTGAAGTCTTGACCCCTAACACCTGTGAATGTAACCTTATTTGGATATCAGTCTTTGAACATGTAACTAAGTTAAGAAAATTGGTCATGAGAGTGAGGCCTACTCTAACACAGCTCTGTCTTTATAAGAATAGGTACATTTGGACACAGGCACACACACAGGAGAGAGACAGAAGACAGCAATGTGAATGACGATGGAGGCAAAAATTGGAGTCATGCTGCCACAAGCCATGGAACACCTGGGGCTGGCAGAAGGTAGGAGAGGCAAGGAAGGATCCTCCCCTAGAGGCTTCTGAGGCAGCAAGGCCCAGCTAACACTGTAATTTAGATTTCTAGCCTCCAGAACTGTGAGACAAGACATTTCTGGGTCCCAGTTTGTGGTACTTTGTTATGGCAGCCTCAGAAAACTGAAACACCTATAATGAGGAAAAACTGGAAGTTGCATGATTAGTAGCTAGCAGTAAGTTCAAGGACAGCTGCTAGAACGGTTCCCTGGTGTTGCAAACTCTCCCAGAGTTGGGGGGAGGACTTCCCTGCCAACCTGGTGGTCAGCCTTAAGTCTAACCCATCAAAACAACTAAGATTCACGGAGGGGCCAGGGGTAGAGAGAGAAGGCCCTGCCCCATTACAGATAAGTTACCTAAACTAAGGGTGACAGGAGGGAAACTTGCAACTGCTACTAACAGAAATGAGTCATTAGAACTTTGCCTAGTCCACGTGAAAGATGAGGGGGCGGGGGCCTGGGTGGCTCAGTTGGTTAAGCCTCTGCCTTCGGCTGAGATCATGATTCCAGGGTTCTGGGATTGAGCCCTACAACAGGCTTCCTACTGCTCCCCTTGGTTGTGCTCTGTCAAATAAATAAAATCTTAAAAAAAAAAAAAAAAGAAGAAGAAGAAAGATGAGGCGGAAACATGATGCTCATCAAGAAGAATGGCAACAGCTGGGCCATCACAGGGCTCAGCCTCTCCTGCAGTGTTGTCTTGTCCACCTTAGATCCATGTGGAAAGGACTGTAAAAGGTCTCGGGGGTTTTTCCCGCAGTACTGTCCTGGCTGTCATAAGGGTGCTATGGTGCTCTTGGGGAGATTTCTTTGATACAAACTCCTGTGGTGAGGCACTGACTAGTAAATCTTCCTGCCAATTAGGTTTATAATGCTGACGAAGATGAGCCACTGGAGAATGAGGAAAGAATCCAAAACAATATAAATTCTTGTGATCAGGCCTCCTGAAAATCCCAACCTTAATGTTAAACTAGGTAAAAACATAAGAGTTATTATCGTGACAAAAGGGCACCAAATGTCCAGAATTAAGGTACACTCTTTTTTAAAAAGCCACCAGTGTGTAAGTCATCTGAGTCTGCCAAAAGGCATGTAAATCTTATGGCCACGGGTCCCTGGGTGGCATAGTGGGTTAAGCATCCACCTCTTGATTTCCACTCAGGTTATGATCTCAGAGTCCTGAGATGGAGGCCCATGCTGGGCTCTGCACTCAGAGGGGACTCTGCTCAAGATTCTCTCCCTTTCCCTCTGCCCCTCCCCCTTGCTCATGTGCTTGTGTTCCTTCTCTCAAATAAATACATACATCTTAAAAAAATCTTATGGCCCCAATTTAAAAGCAATGTGGAGGGGCGCCTGGGTGGCTCAGTGGGTTAAAGACTGCCTTCGGCTCAGGTCATGATCCCGGGGTCCTGGGATCAAGCCCCGCACCGGGCTCTCTACTTGGCAGGGAGCCTGCTTCTTCCTCTCTCTGCCTGCCTCTCTGTCTACCTGTGATCTGTGTCTGTCAAATAAATAAATAAAAATCTTTTTTAAAAAATAAATAAATAAAAATTAAAAAAAAATAAAAATAAAAGCAATGTGGACAAGGCAGCTGAATCAAGGAATTCCCCAAAAGGAAATAGATGGCATCAGTAATGATGATCTTGCTGGCTGATTGATGGGCCGAAAACACTTGAAATTTGTTTAGTCAAGCCACACGCAGCTCTCATCTGCTTGAAATCAAAAGTAAATATGCCTTGCTCACTGGCATGGAGTCACTTTCTCTCTCTGTCTCTTCCTCCCCTCCATACCTTGACTTCATCTGCTTGGAGGAAGATAACTAGGGGTAGAGCCAAGGTCTCCCTGTCCCCAAGGACAGGGTATAGTGAAGACACCATATACCCAATCCACGGATGCAGAGGGAAACCCAGGAATGGGAGAGACTCAAACTTTCATGGCTCTGTTAGATTCAGGTGTCCAACTCACCATTCTACCATGGGGAAAGGAAGAACTTTCATTCAACCCATGGGGTTTGGGCAAGTTTCACAGCAGGAAAGGGAGGCTGTCTTAACCCTGCAGATGGAAGCTGACAGTACATACTGTTGTTGCTAAATCTGAATGTACAGCAGGAACTGCTATGGCATTTACACTGCCCAATTCTGTAGGTATCAAAAATGGATCGTCCCAAATGGAAAGAGCCACAGGTAGAGAAGAGCTACTGTAAGAAACCCCCCAACAGATGGCACCAGCAGCTGGTCAGGTTTAGCACGAGTGTCTCTATCTTGTGATGTCTGAAGTTTACACTATACTGATGTCCTGCTGACTGGCAAGCTAGAAGTCTGTCTCAAAGGTCCCGACCACAATGTCAGCACACCTCCATGAGCAGGTGTTGATGAACCCTCAATAAAATTCAGAGGCCTGCTCATCAAGTCGAGTTTCGTGGGACTAAGTCCAGTAGATTCACAACACTCAATTCCTCCAGCAATAAAAGAAAAACTATGCTTTTTTACCTCCTCTCTCTCCCTCCTGAAAATAAGGATTGTTACCTTACTAAAGTTTTCTGGATATTAGAGACAGCGGTACCTCTCCTGGGCATTCTACTTTCTTCTTTATATCAGCTAATCTGCAAGTCAGGATCTTTTAAGTGGTGCTCCAACCAAAAGGGTGCTCTGGAAGTTACCCATCAAGCTGGCACAGTCTCCATTTTGGGGGCCCTACAACTCTTAACAGCCCGTTTGAACTAGAACTCTTTGATATGGATTCTCTTGCAGATTAGAGCTTCTGGCAAAGGGAGCCAGACTCCACCCACAAGGTGTACCTTGGGTTTTGTACCTCCGGTTTTATACCTGCCACATCTACAAGGTACAATCCCTTTGAAAAGAAAAGGATTAGCTTGCTGTTGGGCTCTTGTTGAAACCCATTCAGGCTTCGAGGCTCTCCCGCCTGATACTGCCATTTGGGAATGCATCAACTAAGACTAAAACATACCCACCAAGTCTCATTTCTCAAACAGAAATAAGACACTCAAGGAGCACATGTGTGGCTCAGATGATTGAGGGTCTGACTCTTGGTTTTGGCACAAGTCATGATCTCAGGGTCGAGGGATGGAGGGAGTAGGACTCCATGCTCAGCGGGAAGTCTCCTTAAGATTCTCTCTCCTCCCTCTGTCCCTCCCCACCACTTGCTCACTTGCTCTAAAATAAATCAATCTTAAAAAAAAAAAAAAAAAAAAAAAAGACACACAAGAAAGCAGTTGACCTCTTGGCTTTACATGGGAAAAAAAAAAAAAAAAGGAAGTTCCCCCAACTCTGTTGCCCAAAGGAAGCCACTAAATTGATGAGGTCTTTTTTTTTTTTTTAAAGATTTTATTTATTTATTTGACAGACAG